TGAATGGCTTTGAATAGCTTAGAATAGCTTTGAATAACTTTGAATCTAAATTACAATAAAAAGCTGAGAACCATATGACTAGCAACAGCTTGGCCATTAAATTTTCGTTATTTCAATTGTCATTTGCAGGTATTTCTCACGCAAAGCTCATCCAGGAGACTATTGGGAAACGTAGAATAGCTTTGAATAGCTTTGACTAGCTTTGGATAGCTTTGAATGGCTTAGAATAGCTTCTTAATCTTGACTTGTCTCCTTGTCTTTCAAGCACTTAGACTCAGCTCTTTCAAAAATTAGAACTCCTTTTCACATGACGTTTTTTTTTCTCATTTTAGCTCTTTGTTCTCTCTCAATATATTCCATTTACAAACCTTTTCCCGAAATTTGCGAATCAGAGAAAAGAATTTTGATCAAAACCGTTGAAAAAGCTTTTCGGAGAACTGGATTGAGTCATTTTTTTCTTTCAAAGTACATTCAAGCTCAAAGAAAATGCTAAAAATTTGGATATTTGCTATATTGTTTAGTGTTAGTGGTAAGTTTTATTTGTTTGAATAGTTTGTTTAAGCCTGGTGAATCTAAAGCTTAAAAGATTTAACTAGAGTTTAAGGCAGTTGAAATCAGTGCATCTTATCAACACAATTCTATAAGATTTAAGCTTTTAAGCGTATGTTTATGAGAAAAATCTAATAATAAGTAATGCTTAGAATAGCTTTGAGTAGCTTTGAGTAGCTTTGAATAGCTTTGAGTAGCTTTGAATATAAATTACAATAAAAAGTTGACAACCATATGACTGGCAACAGCTTGGCCAGCTAAACCCTGAAAAAATAAAAAAAAAGCAAATTCAGCAAATTCTTTTTTCTACAAGCTTCAAGTTTAAACGGAGTGAGCCAATCGAGGAAAGTGAAGGAACAATTTATGATGATCAGGCATTGTTTTTTTGTTTTTTTTTTTGCTTTCAAAATTGAGATTTCATATTTAGATACATATTGAGGATTTAAATCAAAATCTAACAAATGCTGAAATCAAGGCTTTTTATGAGAAAGATGCAATGGAACGGTGGAAAGAGAGGGTATCAGAGTTTAGATTTGCTTGAAAATTTTAGATCCTTACCTAAAAATTCTTGAAATTTTTTCAAAAATCGATTTAAATCTAAAAAGGAGTTCATGTTTTGAAATAATTGACATAGAAAAAGATTTGTAATCTAAAATCAGCATTGATAGCATGAAAGTAAGTAAAGAAGGAAGAAAGGAAGGAAGGAAGAAAGGAAGTAAGTATTAGGTTGGCAACTTAATAATGACGCTTCACTACTTAACATGTTTTTTGTAATTTCAAGCGCGGTTTCTTCCCTCTTTTTTGCATATATACAAAGTAAAAGATGTTTGCATAAATAACATTTAGTGCTCCAAATTTCATCATTCGCTTTTTGGCAAAAAAATGGAGGGCAAAAAATTCCGTATTCGAGCTGCATTGTTCTACGATTTTAAACAAGGAAAATCACCAGCTGAATCTCATTGCACGATCATCATTGTTTTTGGAGAGGAAAGTATACACATTCGGCAATGTCAACGATGGTTTCAAAGATTCCAAGGCAGCGATGAAAGCCTCGTAGACAAGCCACACCAAGGACACCCTCCAGAAGTGATCGACGATGACTTGCTCGCCTTAATTGAAGATTGCCCAACACTCACCGTTCGTGAGTTGGCAGAAATATTTGAAGTATCCCATACGACAATCAAAAACTATTTACACAAACTTCGGAAAAGAATCGAGTTGGAAAATGGGTTCCTCACGAACTGACCCAAAGCAACAAAATGTCGCCTCAAGTTTGCTACAAAAATGTAAATCAAACGACTTTTTTCACAGGGTTTTGACTTCTAACGAAACGTGGATCAACTATGAGAACCTTAAACGCAAAAATTAATGGCTATCTACTGGGCAGACCACCCAAACCACTCCCAAACCTGATATCCATGGGAAGGAGATAATGCTCTGTTACTGGTGGAACTTCAAGGGATTGGTGCATTATGAAGTGCTGAAACCTGGCCAAACCGTCGATGCTGATCTTTATTCGAAGCAATTAATGAGAGTTAACGAGTCTTTGAAGAAATTGGGGCTCAAACCGGAGAGAGTCAGATTTTTACACGACAACGCAAAACCTCACACTGCAAAGATCACTTATAAAAAAATCGAGGAACTTGGCTGGAAAGTTTTGCCCCACGCGCCTTATTCACCTGATCTGGCTCTTTCAGATTACTTTTTGTTTCGGTCGCTGAAGCACTTTTTGGAGGGAGAAAAGTTCGATGATCATGCTCAGGTCATAAGAGCAGTGAATGACTACTTCGCCTCAAAAACTCCCAAGTTCTTCGAGGATGAGATCCGGGATTTGCGCAGAAGATGGGAAGAAGTCATAGATACTAATGGAGAATACCTTTCGAATTGAAAGCTCTTCTTTTGTGTTTTTTTAAAATAAATGATTTGTTACATAAACGCGTCATTATTAAGTTGCCAACCTAATAGATGAGTAAGTAAGTAAGTAAGGAAGTAAGTAAATAAGGAAGTAAGCAAATAAATAAATGAGTAAGTAAGCAAGTAAATAAATGAGTAAGGAAGTAAGGAAGTAAGTAGATGAGTAAGTAAGTAGGGAAGTAAGGAAGGAATGGAACAAATAATCAGCTGAACTAGCGTTTGTTGTACAGCATTTTACTTGTTGCTTGTTTATTTGTGCTTACAAAACACCAATGCACATCAAAAAATTGTGGTGTAAAGGATGCTTCTAGAACTATTCAATGTTAGATACTAGATTCAAACTTTAAACTAATCCAGCCGTTCAGATGAGAAGCCCATTCGATCCAGTTCAATCTTCACTACCAACAAGAATAGTCGAGAGAATGGAGCCGATTCTCGAAGCAAAACCCATTGAAACAACGCTAAATCTATCCAAAATTCAAAAACTATCAAAAGCTTTTTATTTGCCGAATTCGAATTCAATAAAAGAATCAACGAAAAGGGATAAGAATCTTGGATTTTCAACAAATTTTATTAAGAAGATCAATGAAATCAGAGATAAAACTGTGCAGGTAGAATTTGAAATTATAAACATTATTTTTAAAAGACTTTTTAGCTTTTTACAACAACTTTAAAGCCGATTTTATCCAAAAATCTTACAAAATATGATTCAAAAGAAGTCAAATCAACAAAACTCATTGTGTCAACTGTCAATCAAATCAACAAAGCTCAAAGCTCAAAAGAAATCAAATCCCAATCAACAAAGCTCATTGTGAAGAAGCCAAGGTTATCGTGAGTTTTTTTAAGAATTCTTTTTACAGTTTAAAGTTTAAACCTGTTAAAAGTACTTTACTATTTAATTCTTTACAAAGAGATTTTAGCAGGGTTTAAAGGGTTTAAATTGTACCCATTTCGATGACTGTTCCCAAAGGGTCTCATTTGTTGTTGTCACTACCTCCTCGAATTGAGAGTGGGTATGCACTAGAAAGTTTCAACTTTTACAGTTTAAAGCTTACAGTTTAAAGTTTACAGTTTACAGTTTAAAGCTTACAGTTTACAGTTTAAAGCTAACAGTTTAAAGCTTACAGTTTAAAGCTAACAGTTTAAAGCTTACAGTTTAAAGCTTACAGTTTAAAGCTTACAGTTTAAAGCTTACAGTTTAAAGCTTACAGTTTAAAGCTTACAGTTTAAAGTTTACAGTTTACAGTTTAAAGCTTACAGTTTAAAGTTAAACTGTAAAAGAATTGTATGATTTCAAAAGCTGATTCAGAAATTTCGTTCGTTCAACATCAAGATTTTATGCTCATAAAAGAAGTCTTGAAACGATCGAAAGAGAAGAAATTTCTAAAGCTTTCTCAAGAATTCATCAAGATATTCAAATTTTGCTTAACGAAATGGATATAATGAAGATAATGATGAAGAAATTTCTTTTCAAGACTTATGAAATGGTTTGGGGAAAGAGGGAGAAGGTGAAGGTGGGTGGAGAAACTTTTCAAAATATCTTGATGTACATTATTGATTATGAAAAGCAAGTAAAGAAAAAGGAAAGCAGAATCAGTAAGCAAAAGAACTTACCGTCAATACTGTAATAGTACCGCAGCCCCATAATGACGGTGCGGAGCGTTGCGTAGTCTAGCTTTGAACGCGTTTTTCTCGACACTGGTTTAAGCTACAATGCTCGCTTAGGTATCAAAAAATAGCCCTGAATTTCAGCTATTTTTTGATACCAAAGACGTATTTTTGATACCAAAGATAATGACGGTGCGGAGCGTTGCGTAGGCTAGCTTTGAACGCGTTTTTCTCGACACTGGTTTATGCTACAATGCTCGCTTAGGTATCAAAAAATAGCCCTGAATTTCAGCTATTTTTTTGAAAGCACGGACGCTTTGAAAAAATGAAATACTTTTCAAAGCACCCGTACTTTCAAAAAATGCATCTTTGGTATCAAAAAATAGCTGAAATTCAGGGCTTTATTTCAAAAAATGAAATACTAAAAAGATTTACGCTAACTTTATTCTTCAAAAGTTATTCAAATTTAGGAAGAAATTCTTGAAGAACTCTCTCTTCTTAAAAAGCGAAACATTCCGCAATCTGCTCATATAAATTCAAGCACAACACATCGCTCAAAAACGATTCGAAAGAGAATAAAGGTAATTTATTTTGAATTGAAATTGAATTGAATTGAAATTCTTTATTGAAAGTTTAGGAAATTCTGACTCGTCTACCATTCGGCATAAAATACAATTTTTGATTTGTAAAAATATTGAAATTATTTAAAATCTGGATTCATTTACGGCTTGATAAAGAAAGAGAAATCAAAATATCACAGAAAATGTTTGTCTTTTGGATTGATTTGTTGATTAAAAGAGATATGAGACAGAGATTCGAAGAAGTGAAGGAGTTGTAAAGCAATTTCTCCTATTTTGATCTATTTTGATCTATTTTGATCTATTTTAGATTCATTTTAGATCCATTTTAGATCGAATTTTTGTTTTTTAATCTTCATTGATTGGTCCTTGCTTGACGGATTGTGGAAAATGATCAGGTGGATCGGTGACATTTCCTCGTAAAATCGTTAACTCGTTAAAGATTCGTTTCATTTGTGTTGAAGTCACGTATTCACCTGGAAATCAAGAAAATTCTTTTATAAAAGCTTTAGAAATAATCTTTATAGCAATAAAGATTTAAAACATGACGGAAAAACCAATCCGGTTAATGATTTCATTCGTTTTGATTCTACATACGGATTCGTTTTACATACGGATTTTTTTCTAGAGGATAGAAAGAGATGTAATTAGCTGTAAAACTATAATATATAAAAAGGAAAAGAGTTTGGACTGAAAATGTATTGCGTGTATTGTACAAAATGTATTGTACAAAATTATTGCGTCAAAAGTCCTCTTTAACTCTAAACGGATTACAGCCAAAGCCAAAGCCAAAGCCAAAGCCAAAGCCAAAGCCAAAGCTAAAGCCAAAGCTAAAGCCAAAGCTAAAGCCAAAGTCAAAGCCAAAGCCAAAGCTAAAGCCAAAGCCAAAGCCAAAACCAAAGGCAAAGCCAAATGCCAGTAATTAAGTATAAGTTTCAATTCAAAACTCACCAAAAACAACTTTCCCAGTGATCATTGGCACGTCAATTAGCGCTTCCCATCCCGGTTGACCGTTGAGAAGATACCTAATAACTTTTATAGAATTTTTAAGTTCAAAAATTTCTATTAAACCTATCTTTAAAAGAACATACCTTTTCCCATACAGTCGAAAGTCTCTCTTGATTCCCCCAATCTCACTGGCGATTTGTCCGGTGATGAAAGCGTCATCCACCTAAATCCATCATTTTTTTGGGGAGTTTAGACCATGAAGACCTCAACCGATCATCATAAAACTAATCTAAACAATTCAAAACGCTTTTTTTGATTTAACAAGTATAGGTTGTTTCAATCTATACTTGTTAAATCAAAAATTGTTAAATTGTTAATTGTTTAAAAGCGATCACAGCTTTAAATTCATTCTATTTTAAATCATTTTTATTTTATTATTATTTACATTTTGATTTTAATTTATTTTTTTATTTATATAATATTAAAGAAAAAAATTCAGAGTTTACAAATAATTTTGGCTATTTTGGCTATAAAATTCTTTCCAATCCAACAAACCGATGTGTAAAACTCTTTTTTCTCGATTTGAGCGATTAATCTCGGGAACAGATCGGGTGACTGAAAGAATCAAAGTCTAGATTTATAAAATAAAAGGATAAGTTACAAAAATAATGGCCGAACTGTGGCAGAACGTTTCCCAATAGTCTCCTGGATGAGCTTTGCGTGAGACATACCTGCAAATGACAATTGAAATAACGGAAATTTAATGGTCAAGCTGTTGCCAGTCATATGGTTGTCAACTTTTTCTTGTAATTTATATTCAAAGCTATTCAAAGCTACTAAAAGCTATTCTAAGCTATTCAAAGCTATTCAAAGCTATTCAAAGCCATTCAAAGCTATTCAAAGCTACTCAAAGCCATTCTAAGCTATTCAAAGCCATGCTAAGCCATTCAAAGCTATTCAAAGCTATTCAAAGCTATTCAAAGCCATTCAAAGTTATTCAAAGCTATTCAAAGCCATTCAAAGCCATTCAAAGCCATTCAAAGCTATTCTAAGCATTACTTACTATTAGATTTTTATCATAAACATACGCTTAAAAGCTTAAATATTATAGAATTGTGTTGATAAGATGTACTGATTTCAACTGCCTTAAACTCTAGTTAAATCTTTTAAGCTTTAGATTCACCAGGCTTAAACAAACTATTCAAACAAATAAAACTTACCACTAACACTAAACAATATAGCAAATATCCAAATTTTTAGCATTTTCTTTGAGCTTGAATGTACTTTGAAAGAAAAAAATGACTCAATCCAGTTCTCCGAAAAGCTTTTTCAACGGTTTTGATCAAAATTCTTTTCTCTGATTCGCAAATTTCGGGAAAAGGTTTGTAAATGGAATATATTGAGAGAGAACAAAGAGCTAAAATGAGAAAAAAAACGTCATGTGAAAAGGAGTTCTAATTTTTGAAAGAGCTGAGTCTAAGTGCTTGAAAGACAAGGAGACAAGTCAAGATTAAGAAGCTATTCTAAGCCATTCAAAGCTATCCAAAGCTAGTCAAAGCTATTCAAAGCTATTCTACGTTTCCCAATAGTCTCCTGGATGAGCTTTGCGTGAGAAATACCTGCAAATGACAATTGAAATAACGAAAATTTAATGGCCAAGCTGTTGCTAGTCATATGGTTGTCAGCTTTTTATTGTAATTTAGATTCAAAGTTATTCAAAG